ACAGCCATTTTGATTGTTAATCATGGCTTTTGGCTGTCCATTGACATTTCTCAGAGATGCCTTGACTGATTTCAATGATACAAGGTCCAAAGACACAGTGAGGAGGTATACATATTCACATGGATTTATTTCCTGATTTGATCACATATGGCTGCCTGGCGGCCATTTTGAAAGTCAAAGTCCTGTAAAATCCATTTTTTTGGGTGTGTCGATCATCATTTATTAGAGATGCCTGGACCGATTTTGCTGAGACTTGTTACAAAAACAGAGTGACTACTGGTACAGATGCACGCTGATTTATTTGTTCAAGGAAACAATTAATGAGCTCATTTGCATTTTTAATTATTAATTTTAATTCTTGTTAATATCTTGTGAACTAATAGTCCAAATCAGACCAAACTTGGTAGAGACTTGATTTGTCAATACAATATATATACTATACAATATTGAGTTTCAATTTGATTAACGAGCTCATTTACATATTAATTTTGAATTTTTGTTAATTAATATCTTGTGAACTAATAGTTCATATATTTGCTATTTAATTATGAATCAATTGAATTTCCATAGATATATTTCACAGATATCTGGTTTGTATTTATTTTTGGTTACCATGCCTACCTTTTTAATAGTCTAATCAAGAGGTAAACGTTTGAAACTACATGCATAACATAACTGTTGTATTTTAACAGACAACAAGTCATTGTCAATGACACGTCCCCGTTCCGTTCATATTTGAGTGACATATACATTCAAAGCAGATCATGACCGAAATGCACCTGCATATGTACAACACATTGTGCTAAATCTGAACAAAATCCATCCATGCATGACTGAGATCTGGTTCTGGAATTGTGATTTTGATGCATTTTCGGCCTTAAAATGGCCATCATTCCGCTATTGTTAAGCAGATCATGAAACAAATGCACATATCTATTTGTGACATGATGTACCATGTGTGTGTGTGAAGTTTGAACTTGATCAATCCAGACATGTCTTGGATACGGATCCAGAACTGAATTCTTTAACAAAATGGCCGCCAGTCGGCCATTTCGAACTTGATCCGAAAAAAAAAGACGTGCATCAAGGTCCTATTATGTTTAATGTATGTACCAAATTTGAACAAAATCCATCCATGCAT